CTGGGAGCCACGGCACGGGGGGCCTGGAGAGGCAGCTGGGAGTGCCCGCTGGGCTCCGCTGCTCCTGGGAAATGAGTTGCAAAGAGGCGTATGCCAAGGTGATGATGTTGTTGTCAGGGAACGGGCTCTGGCTCCAGGGCTGCAACCCCCGAGACAGCAGATCCTGTCTGCTGTGGCCTCACTGGCTTCCTGGGAGACTGGCCGGGGGGGGTCTGCAGGAAGCCCCAAGTGAGCTGGGACTGGCCAGGAAGAGCTGCTGGGGGGTCTGCAGGAAGCCCCAAGTGAGCTGGGACTGGCCAGGAAGAGCTGCTGGGGGGTTCTGCAGAAAGCCCCAAGTGAGCTCAGCCTCAGCTTTGCCTTTCAGAGGTGGGAGATCTCTGCTGGGATTTTCCCCCCTTCCAGCTGACAGCCTGGGTTCTGTGGGAAGGAGCAGGAACTAGTTAAGCACATGACCTGTCAAAGCTTAGCCACCATCTCTTCCTTTAGAGCCAGTAGCTTTCTTTTCAGAGCCCATAGCCTCATATCCCTCTGCTCCAGGAGCAGGCAGGAGCCTGACTCTGGCTCTGCCTTGGAGCTCCCACAACCAGAGAGCAGCGCACGTGGCCCTTGCCTGGGAAGAGCCCCAGCCTCTCCCAGCTGGGTCCATCCCAGAGGACAGGCCCTGGGCATGGCTGGGGGACAGCTCTGGGTCACACAAGCCATTCCCATCCCCTCTTGCCCCTGATGTGTGTGTGCCTGAGGCCAGCACTCTGCCAGAGGAAGGGTGTCTGTCACGTAGCAGGTTGTGAATCTGGCAGTTGCTCATCTCTGCAGGGCCAGAATCAGTTTTTCTTGGGAAGTTTGGCATTGTCTGACTTGCTTCTGCTACTCCCCAGCCCGTCGCTTGCACCAAGGCTGCTGGCACATAAGATACAGTCCCCTCAGGAGATGGAAGCTCTCCATGCTCTCACAGTAAGTGCTCCATCCACCCGCAGAGAGCAGCAGCAGTAGCTTGGAAATAGAGTTTGGGGGTAGAGTCAGTATTGCTGTCTCTTCTTCTTCTATTTGATGTCTCCCCTTTTAACTCTCGTTGCCCAGGGAATACAGAAGCTGGGGTGTGAGGGAGGCAGTAGCTGCTGTTGGTCCTTCCCACACGGCTCCACTGGGGTGTTACAGTGGCCTGCAGCTCTTGCTGTTTGGCCTGTGGTCCCATCAGAGGGGCAGAGAGCCAGAGGTTATTAGTGATGGGGAGATCAGAGCAGAAGGTCTTAAACATGCTGCCTACGAAGGCCGGACGACAGAGACAGACATGTTCATCCTGCACAACTTTCTCAGTGTCTTGTATTGGTGGATGCAGTGCCCCTAAGTTCTTAGATTTAGTATTATAATGGGAAAGCTATTTTAAAAAGATTTCCCTGAGACTTGTGTGTCTAGTTTGTTTGGTGCTGTTTTGTTTTCTGCAGGTGCTGGAGACCTGTGTCAATAACTGTGGTGAAAGATTTCACAACGAAATAGCAAAATTCAGGTTTCTGAATGAGCTGATTAAAGTGCTTTCCCCAAAGGTAGGTGCTGATGGCTGCACTGGGCACTGCAGGTGGGACACACTGTTTATTTTGTGCCAGATATGAAACTTTCCAGTTAATCTCACACAGAAGTAGAGCAGAATTCATTCTGTGCTCCCAGGCAGAAGGGCTGGCTGTGAATCCCCCTCTAAAAGGAGCGAGGCAGGGGACCCAGTGTCCCCCAGCAGTGCCCCTCACAAAAAATGGGGACCTGTTTTATCAGGGACTGTGTGACCTTCACACCTTGCTCCTCTGCAGCAAATAGCAGGTCTGGGACTTTCTTAAATACCCTTCTCAGCAACCCAGCCATGCACTGCCCTTTTCAGAGGGCCCTGCACACTCTTACCGCCTGCACGGGCGTCACTTTCCGTGACATCACCTCGGGCAGAGGTGCAAGGAGCTGGTTCCAGAGGAGAGTTTAACCAGCCAGCAAAGCCTCAGCTCCCAGCCCCAGGTTTGGGAAGGGTGTTTCAGTGAAGCAACAAAGCTTAAAGACTGCATCACTACAGAGAGTTTTGTTTGCTGTTTTGACAGAACAGGTATCATTTAATGAGTTTAAAATGACTTCTGCTTTGGAGGTTTGTGTGTGGCTTGTACCATTCCTGATGTTTTTATAATACACTAAAGTGAGTGCTCGTAGGCAATAGTGAGAGAAATCAGAGAGAACATCCAGATGCTGAAAAAGACACAGTAACTTCTGTTTCTTGTTTTGCTCAGTCTTCATTTCCCCGGGCCTGGCTGAGGCCAGTGGTGCTGTCTGCATCGCAGGCAGCTGAGGGGAGTGTTTAAAGTCAAGCACAGAGCTGTTTCCATGAAGATAAAACCACCTGCTTTTGTTTCTGGATTCAACAAATGATCAGAGAAGTTTTGAAATGGTTTCATGTGGCTTGTCATATAACATTTATGTAATTATCATACAGTTAACAGCATTCTCTGTACTCACAGCCACAGCTATATGCACTGTTTCCTATACCTGGAGACTGTCAGTTTTCACACTGTGTTACTGTTGGGAAACCATTTGCTACTTGGTCTCTGCACACAAGCAACTTGGGGCTAGACCCACAGGCCATATCTGGCACTAATTCCTTGGGTTTAATCTTTTTTTTTTTCTTACTTTTTTCTTTCTTATTTTCAGTACTATGGAACCTGGTCTTCAGAGAAAGTCAAGTCAAGAGTCACAGAAGTGATATTCAGTTGGACAGTCTGGTTTCCTCAGGAAGTTAAAATCCGGGATGCTTATCAGATGCTGAAGAAACAAGGTTTAGTTCTGTTATTTCAGTTTCCTTTTTAGCCTTCCAAGTCACATGGTTTCAGACCACAGATATCTGTCCTCTTTAATTTGTGACTCAGCTTTCTTCATAACACGTTGTGTGTAAGGAGAAAAGGACAAAGGCCACGCTTACAAGGCTGTTTGGGGACTTAAGGATGCACACAACTGTTTGAAGAGATTCACCCAGAACAGCCTTATTGAGCCAAGGCTCAGGCTGCCCCCGTGGCCTCTGCTCACAGTGCTCACCACTGTCGTGCAGCACAAACTCAGAGTGGTCTTTCCCCTGGGTTATGAGGGATGGGTTCAATCCCGAGCTGGATTCTTCATCTGTTCCCTCATATCCAACAGTCCTGGCTCGGGGGGTTTGGTGCCCTGTGTCCTGTGGCTGTCCTGCCTGCCCAGAGGCCAGGACTGGGGGCTCCCAGGGCTCTTGCTACGGGGGAATTGGAGCAATTCACCCAGAGGGGGCTCAGCACACCCACATTTTATTTTCTACCCCGAAAATGTCATTTGTGCTTAATTCAGTGGAGAAAGGGAAGTCTTTTGTCTGGATGTGTGCTAAGGCAGCCCCTTGCTTCTCCATCTCCCTCTGTAAAGTTCTGGGGAGGGGTGAAGGCTGTGGGTGCAAAATGCAATGTGCTGTTGAGCTGTGGTGTTTTAACAGCTCAGGCATTGCTGAGAGAATCTCGTTACCCATTCCAGGGATTGTAAAAGAAGACCCCAAATTGCCAGAAGACAAAATTTTACCTCCCCCTTCTCCAAGACCTCAGAATTCTATTTTTGACACAGATGAAGAGAAATCCAAGGTAATCCTTAGGGTTCTCATGCCTATCCCCCACTCTGATTTGTACTGTTGAGATAACAGCCTCAGTTGTGTTTTGGCAGCCTGTGCTGTTTCAGAGAGAATATCTCCAGGACAATGCTCACACTTCCTGCTGTGCACCAGCTAGAGGATCCTTTGATGCTTTGTCAGAAATTTTCGCTTAGTAAAAAATGAAACTTTTATCAGAAAAAGATCAATTTCTATTAAAGTTTCCTGAGGGAGGGTTTCTGCAGGTCTCAGGGGTTCTGCAGAGCAGGAGAGTTCCTGTTCCCAGCCCACCAGCCTGTGCAGCCAGCTGAAGGAGGCAGTGATATAATCTGGATTAGGTTACGGGACACAACCTCACCTGTTTCCAGGATTATGGAAACTGTTAGTCTGTATCTGTCAATATTTGCTCTTAAGAGCTGTGTGCCTGTAGCACAGTGTCTAGAGACTGCTGCTCACTGCTGTCTGATGCTCTCCCCAACAGCTCCTGGCAAGGCTTTTGAAGAGCAGCCACTCAGAAGACCTGCAGGCTGCCAACCGCCTGATCAAGAGCATGATTAAAGAGGTGGGGGCTCCTCGGGTCAGGGGCTGCATTTGCTGCTGAGGAGGCTGGGAGGGGACCTGGCAATCCTTGGCCCCAGTTCCTGACAGGGGCCCTCTTACACCTCAGCTCTCTAATGCTACCCCAGAGGAGGGACGATTTTCAGCATTTTTTAATTGCAAATTTACAGTGTGGGATTGTGGTTTGGTTTGGGTTTTTTTTCTCCTTCTCCCTAAAATTCCACCACTGCCAGGAGGAGGGAACATGCACCCCAGGAGCCTGTATGGTGGGATGCTCCCACACTGGTGGGATCCTGGCAGTAGTGCTGCATTAGTGGCAGGAAGTTTCCAAAACAAAGCTCAGTTCCCAGGTGGAAGAAAGCTGTATTTGTGCAGAACTGCCTCTTCTCTGCACAGAGTGTGTGTGTGTGCACATCTCATGTGCCTGGTTTCGGATACTGGAGCTGTGGGGGGTGAGTCTGTACCTGTGCTGCCTCGTGCCTCCTCTACCTGCAGCTGGGTGCTGGGAGGAAGCAGCTTGCCAGGAAGTGTGACCCAGAGTGCTCCAGCCAAACACTGGCTGTATTAGCCAAGTCATCATCTACTTTTATTTTATTTTCCATCAAAGGAACAAGAAAAGTCAGCTAAGGTGTCCAGAAGAGCCAACACTATCAGTGAGGTTTCTGAGAACGTTAAACGCATGGGTGAATTACTGGAAAGCTACAAGAGACAAGAATTATCCAAATCTGACCAGGAGACCCTACAGGTAAATGCTCTTTTACCTGTGTAAGAGCTTCTGTAGTCTGGCTGTGGCTGGGAGGGCCCAGGGCAGCAGGACTCAAAGGGCAGTGGGTCCCAGAGGGTGGCAGGGTGTGCTCAGCTCCTGCAGGGAAGCGGCGTTACCGTGGCACAGAATGTTCCCAACACGTTTGCTGAGCAGCCTAAGGGAGGTGAGGGTGGAACAGCTCCCTCTGTGCCAGGCTGAGCCCAGGGTGCCTGCTGGTGCTGTGTTATGGGGCATGGTGCTTCCTCCAACAGTGGTGTAACACACAGGGATCCCCCTGGCTCCTGGCATGGTCAGATGGGTGTGAGGAGATCTGACCAGAGGAGCTCAAAGCTGTGAGTTCTTCAGCTTGTGCTGTGGGCTCTGCGATTCCTCCTTTTCTGCCCAGAGTTCACTGGTCTGCAGCTGCTCACCAGTATCAGGGAGCTGAGGAAACATTTGATGTCGTTAATAGCACTGTCACAACAGCTTTATGGTCTCCAAAGAGCTGAAACTCCCCTGGGATGCCTACCAGACTCTCAAATTAACAAAACTAATTCAGGCAACTGAATTTTTGTAGGTAAGAACTCCTGTGGCTATGTGTGATGGCAGAGTTTGGTGTTAGGTCCCTTTGGGGAGGGCTGCTGCTGTAGGTGGAAGAGACCCTACTTTCAGAGTGAAAAAGTGGCAGCCTCTGTGCCTCCTCCCCTCGAAACACCGAGGAGAGAGCTGTGAGGGGCTGGGCACTGGCTGGCAGCCGGAACACCTCCCTCAGAGCACCGGGACCCATCCGGTCACGCTCGGATGCCTTTTCTTTTACACTGACTGTCCATTGGTGTATCTCACACCTGTGTGCAC